TGTTAATGGCCAACGATTCAATTGCTCTAGTCGCATTATTATATATGTGTATCGGTTTTATTTATGGTGCCAACCACACGCCATATTGATTCTATATAATCTAAGTTCGATTGCCTAATCATTGACAGGGTTGTGTGAGTTATCCGTTTCCTGGATAGAAATAGGAACTCTGGAAAGCTTGCATGCAAAGCTGTGGATAGGGCAAGTGGTAGCTTTCAATCATTGATCATTGTCGTCGGAACCGGCCAACAGGTTTTTTTTTTTTTTTTTTTTTTTTTTATCGCTTGGAGCGCACGAGAGGGAATCCCTATAATGTTCAAAGAACATCGTGCGTTCCTAGGGAGGATAGGGATAGGAGGTAGGTATTGGAATTTTTTTTGAACTTCTGGAGATTATATGTTGTTGGGAATACTTCCTCAGGCAATGAATTCCAGAGCCCAGCCGTTCTATGGATGAAGGAGTTTTGATAAAGTGCTGTTCGGCATCTTTCGAGGTTGACAACGAAGGGATGTGCTGACTGGGCTTGTCTAGTTCGTCTGACTGGTATTGCTAGTGAAGGGATGATAGCAGAGATTTCCGAAGAACATTTCCCGTGGAAGTATCGATAGAAAAGTGAAAGGTCGCCGACCTTTCTACGGTGTTCCAATGATGTCAAAGAGCGAGTGAGTGTGGCGTCACCCACCAGGCGGATGGCTCTTCTCTGGATGGAATCTAAGAGCATCAGCGTATGTTTCGGTGCTGAACCCCATATGTGGGAACAGTATTCTAGAACAGGCCGTATCTGCGCTTTGTAGATCATGAGGAGCTGTTGAGGTGTAAAGTAGCATTTCGCACGGAACAAGAATCCGAGTTTTTGTGAAGCAGCTTTTGCGATGGATCTGACATGATTATCCCATGAAAGAGTGTTGCTGATGGAAATACCGAGCATAGATATGGTGGGCTTGGTGGGGATGGTGGTGTCAGACATTACAATGTCGGGCATACTGAGATCCGCCTTTCTAGAGAAAATACAGGCTTGAGTTTTGGTAGCGTTGAATTCAACTAGGTTGTTGGTTCCCCAGGCTGTGATTTCAGCAAGGTCTTCATTGACAGTATTGACCTGCCTGCGCCGTGTGTTCTTAGTTTCCTGGGAAGAAATAGGAATTCTGGAAGAGAACGCTGTATGTAGGGTACTATCATCTGCAAAGCTGTGGATGGGGCAAGTTGTTACTCCCAACAGATCATTGATATGAAGAAGGAATAATGTTGGTGCCAAAATTGATCCTTGTGGAACGCCGGAATTGATGCCAATTGTATCAGACGATACACCGTCCACCACCACATGAAGCGATCTCCCTGAAAGAAAACTCGATAAGAGATGGCATAGCTGAGGTGGTAAGCCGTATGATGGTAGTTTGTGGAGGAGTCCTTCGTGCCAAACACGGTCAAATGCTTTCGATATGTCCAAAGCGACAGCTAGAGATTCCCCGTGATTTTCTAATGAAGCTTGCCATAAATGGGTGACGTAGGCAAGTAGATCTCCAGTAGATCTTCGGTGGCGAAAGCCGTATTGTCTATCATTGATGATTCCCGAGCTCTCCAGATATTTGATGAGCTCAATGTTGATGGCTTTCTCCATAACTTTGGAGATTACTGATAACAGGGCGATGGGCCTGTAGTTGTTGGGCAGGTTCTTATTCCCTTTTTTGGGGATTGGTTGGACTCTAGCTGTCTTCCAGCATGATGGAAAAATACCCGACCTGTACGAGACGGTAAACAACTTGCAGAGAATCGGTGTTAATTCTGGTGCACATTTTTTGAGGATAATGGGTGGAATTCCATCAGGACCGTTAGCCTTATTCGTTTTGAGACCAAGCAAAATTCGTCTGATAGTGCGTTGACGGAAGACGATTTCGGGCATTCGACTCTCAACGGGTGGAATGTCTGACGGCACTTTTCCTTGGGAATCTAATGTAGAGTTTGCTGCGAAAATCTCTGCAAAAATATTTGCTTTCTCCTGCGATGTTGTTGCTAATGTGCCGTCGGATTTGGACAGTGGTGGAAATGAACTGTTAGTGAAATTTCTTCCGACCGCTTTAGCGAGGGACCAAAATGAACGGGAGCCATTGGGACAATCTATGAGTTTCGATCTTATCTTGGCATTGTATGTTTCTTTCGAAGCATCTATTGTTTGGCTGCAGTTATTTCTGGCATCAACGTATTCTGCTCTAGTCGCGAGGTTAGGGTTTTTGCGCCAGCGATGGTAGGCTGTTTGTTTCAAGGCAACAGTTCTAGAACAGTTTTTGTTGAACCAGGGTTTCGATGGTGATGATCTTTTTGAAGAATGGGGTATGTATGTGTCCATTCCGAGCATGATGATCTCGGATATTTCCGCAGCACACTGTGAAGGGTCCTCAGAGTCAAAGCATACTCTATGCCAAGGAAACTCGGAGAAAAACATGCGGAGACCGTCCCAATACCCTGAATTGTAATGCCATATACGACGTGGGGGTGCCGAATCAGTTGATGGAATGAAAAATGGGCAGGTTGTGGAGATGAGTGTGTGGTCAGAATTGCCAAGTGGAGCTCGTACATCTATGGTGTAGGGTTCTGAATTATTAGTGAGGAATAAGTCAAGTATGTTAGCTGAATGGTTATTGGCATCGGGAATTCGTGTGGGTTCTTTGATAAGCTGCTCTAAGCCGTGAGTGATGGCGAAAGCTTCGGCTTGTCGCCCAGCTTCATCCGTTCTGTTAGAGTGTACGAGCCAAGCAGTGTTGTGTACATTAAAATCGCCCATGATGATGATTTCTGCTGCTGGATGGTTCTGTTGAATTTGGTCAAGCTTCAGAGACAAGAATTCGAAGAGCTCTTCATAGGATGGATCATTTGGTGATAAGTAGAGACAACAAAGGTATTTGGTCTGTTTCTGGCTATCGAGCTTGAACCACATGACATCAAACTTATTTGGTTCCAAAGTTTTTTCTCGTTGACATGAGAGATTCGTTTTAGAGTAGAGGCAGAGACCTCCCTTGAATCTGAAACGTGTGTGGAGTTCGTACCCAGGACAGAGCAGATAGGTCGTATTGGTGGATGAATTGACCTGTGTCTCAGTAAGAGCCAATATGTCTGGCTTTTCAATTTGAAGGTGTCGATGGACTTCGTTGATGTTCTTACTTAGACCTCGGATGTTACATAGGTCTATCTTGAGGACTTTTTCAGTCGATGGTGAACCCCCTCTAGCACCTCTCGTCCGGAAATCCGAATGGAGAGGTATTTTACTTCCGGATAATTTTGCTTGAGGAGAACTCATCATCGCTTATTCTGTATAGAAAAGGGAGGTTGGCGTGGAAGGAAAAGGAAATTGGGCTGGGTTGGGTTGGCCGGAACATCAACCAGCTACTGAAACACGGGTAAAGTTCATGATTTCGATTTACCATTGAAAAATGTAAATATTGTGCCAATGATGATCTACTGGGGGCTCAAAAAGGATTGCCCCATATTTAATTGTACTGTTTTACAATATTCATCAGGCACGCATTATTCTTTAATTAATCGGACAATATGAGTATACTTTTGATGTGTTGGGCATTCGCGTTACATTCGAGCTACACAATATACTGTGTCTACCAAAATGATAGGTTGTTATCGTGTCGTCAAAATAAATCTTTCCTAAAAAATGGAAATGAATATTTTTATCGTTGTGTTGATCATGTAATTATTTCACCGAACTAGTCTCTCCTTGACCGGAGAATTTACCACACTATTATTTTTCGAAATAAATACATTCTAGCCTACAATAAATCATTATATCATAGCTAGATATGAAAAACTTCACAAACAAGACGATTTGCACAAAATATTTAACATTAATTTCGTGTTGGTATACGAACCGATATACGAGGGATCGGAAGACCCACTATTTAATTATGAAGATTTCAAGTGATTGATACGAATTTAGTGAGCAATGATGAATAGGGAATTGAAAGTAAAATACGAATATCTCAAAAAAAATCTCATGAGAATCGAAAGTTGGCATATCTTCCGGATGAATCGAAAAGTAATATTTTCCTTTTGAATTATGATAAGTGACTTTGGTTATTTGATTTGGTGATTTCATGTACTAAGTAACAGGGGGTTATACGGTATATCTAGCTCCTGGCTTTGAGAACGAGTATCCCCAGTAACCAACACAAATATATAGGGTGTGTCATGTTTAAATCGTCTAACTCTGACAATCGATAGCAAACATTAGGATATTATACACGTTTTTTTTTTATTTGTCGTGGAGACACTTGCTTGCATTATACGGGGTGTTGAAGTTCGCATACAATTTTGGTTTAAATTATTGATCTTTGTTGAAACAAAACCTAGCAATTTTAAATTCGGTAAGCATTTTTCTATCTACAGTCTACAGCCCTTATCAATAGAGGGGACTTAGTTACACTGGGTGCTATTTCTTCATATCCACTGATATGGAACACTATACAAATTTCCATTCTGGGACGCTAATGGTGAATTATAGCTGATGAAAATTGATCCTCATTTATTCACCTTGCTATCGGAGCTTCATTCGTTTTGATATCCTTTTTAATTTCCTTGTTATTTGAAATAATGGTATACTATGCATAACAGTTTTTTAACCTGAACGTTTATCTTACATCAAATTATCATTCGAATTGAATATTAAATGGTTAACGGACACGAAAGATATTGAAACGAATGAAAAACACAATGTGTTTTAGTGGAGAATAATAATGATTTTTCATTATGCTCAATCCACTATTAGTGTCCCAATAAAAAAAATCTAATGAGTTCCATCTCAGAGGGCTCGAAAAAGAATAACACCAACTGTAATTCTATTGATAAGGACTGTTCATATTGCCGATAGAAAAGTGCTCACCGAATTTCAGATGACTTGGAGCCCACGGAAGGGAATCCCTATAATGTTCGAAGAATATCGTGCGTCCCTAGGGAGGATAGGGAGAGGAGATAAGTATATTGGAATTGAAAAAAAATAACCGCTTATCGAACTTTTATTATAGGCACTACCAAAGATAATAATGTATGATTCACAATCCACAAAATTTGAAGAATGATATTTTCAGACCTCACATGAACCTTTTCCAGTGATGGATACTGATGTCCTCATATTATTGAAGGGATTTTCATTATCAGCCACCTGGAAAAACCAAATATACTTATTCAAAACTCTCTCTTCCAAAAGTGATTGAATATATAGAATATAAGATTCGATCTTTAGTATGAGCACTGCCACAAAATACATATTCAAATAGGGTTGGCTAATTGAAACTCTTCACCCACATCCTGATCTTTTGACATGATGAGCGTTATTTTAGAATTTGCTGTTCAACTCAGAGATGTATTTTAATTTCGTGTAAAAAAACCTGTGTATGAATTACCCGGTATATCATCTTGAACATAAAGTTTTATTACAAATAAACTGCCCTAGAATTTGGCCCAATAACGTATATTCAAGCAAAAAAAAGTTTATCTGAATCACTCGTAGCGATCAGAGATCATTTACTAACAAATATATTACTACAATGTTGTGTGAGTCGTTTCAAGTTTCCATGAGTGTAGTGTATATGCCATTGTGGCGACTGTCCAGTTTCAGGGTATGTTTGGGTGCTGCACTCCAAATATGGGAACAGTATTCCAGGACAGGTTGGATCTGTGCCTTATAGATCATGAGCAGCTGACTGGAAGTGAAATAGCTCCTGGCCCAAAATAGAAAACCAAGTTTTTGGGATGCACTTTTAGCAATTGATCTCACGTGATTCTAGGTTATTGCTGATAGTGATACCAAGCATCGAAATGGATGTCTTCAAAGGTATGGTTACTCCTGACAAGCTTATGTTGGGCACAGTGAGATCTGCTCTTCTAGAGAAAAGGCATGCTTGTGTTTTGTTTGCATTGAAATCTACCAAGTTATTAGATCCCCAATCGAGAATTGTTGCCAAGTCCATATTTATGTTGTTAACGTTTCTTCCTCGTTCGTTTCTGGTTTGCCTAGCTGGTATTGGAGGGTACTATCATCCGCGAAGGTGTGTACTGGACATGAAGTTGCTTCTAACAAATCGTCGAGTAGAAATAGTGTTGGTGCTAGAATTGATCCTTGCGGAACACCAGCATTTATGATAAGACAGTCAGATGAAACTCCGTCGACTACTACATGGAGAGACCTGTTTGAGAGAAAACTTGCCAGTTCATATAAGGTCAGCAAGTCTGAATGACTGTCAATTCAGGAAGAAAGTCAGAAAGTTCGTCTCTAGTAGACCCTATTACAGTTTGCAGGAATATTATAGTGATACGACGTTTGAATTGTGATATTTTAGTATTTTAATGAGGTATTTATTTTGAGTATATTGTCTCGTATTTTTAACCTTCTTTTACAATATTATCTGACCTAGTTTTGTCAACAAGGTTCTTCTTCAGACAATAAAGCATATTATGTAAACGAATACTGATACAAGTGATTCTTTCCTGGATGCCTATAAATTTAGTTTAATATGGTTTAATAATATGGGATATCTGATATCCATATCATTCTCATCATTGATACTTACATTTTCGTTTTCCTGATTGAATTCATAATACTGGCCGTGCTGTCCTGTATACATTCTATGACTAGAATCAATATGAGAAAGCAGAAGGGGAGTTGTCTCGTTGGAATTATCAGCACTGTTGGAGCTTCTCCAAGATTCGCTTATTCCGCTGTCTGAAGAATTATCGCTTTCCCTACTGTATGTTGATTTGAGGATGAAGAACATAAAAGTGATGATAGCCTGGAAAGAAGTACTTTATTACTAGGACATGTGGATAGTAGGCTAGTACTGAATGATAAGTGTAAACCAAAAAAGACAAATATATGGAAGCTGTTGTTGACACAACAAAACCTGTCTCTCTGGAATCACAGAATGAAATATGCTTGCGTAAATTCGTAGAACTTGTAGCAAACAGCAAAAATCCCAATGAAATCATTTAGAGGTTAGTTAGCACAAATATTGATGGAATGTAAAAATAATCGATTATTATTCACCGCATTAGAAATACAAGGAATTAATCTCTGAACGTGTAATCAAATAACGATGAAAAACAACACATTCTGGTTAGCATTTGTATGATTCCGACGAAAAATGCCTTAGAAGAGTCCCAATGGATTTTCGAAAAGGTGATCAAAGATTGAAAACTCAAACTAGCATACTTATCCAGAAGGTCAATCATTTAACCGAAAACCAGAAGATGGTGGAATATATCCCCAAATGGAAGGAGGCTTTGAAATAATCAGGTATAATGGTTTTGGTAGAGGCTCTATAGTGTCCTCCATAAGTCAACGCCATCATCTTTGGACTTAAATAATTTCACAGCATCGGCGTTCTATAGACGAACGAGTTTCAAGTGTGACGTAGTACAGTCGCATTCAAAGAAAAAGCGTACAAGTATATTACAGAGACAAATTAACGTCATCCCATTCTGCATAAAATGGGCCATCGGGAATGATTGTTCACCAAATTTTGACAGTAAAGTTGTCATAGGTTCTCGAAAACACAAAGTATTGGCTGAGCCAGTTTTACACAACTAGAACTAGGATCCCGAAATCCTCTCTTTTTAATACTTGTACGCTTTTTTATTGAATACGACTGTACTTCATCTCTTTCAAGATAGAATAAAACAAAACATTTTGGAATGAAACCTGTCAAAATCAATGATTGCTTATGCATAATTTGAAATAATATTTATTTTTGAAATTAACGAATTTCTATGAGAAGTGTGAAGAATAAATAAAATTGTAATGGAATCACATGTGGAATTTTCAATTGATCTCGACAAAATATTCATCGAAAACAAAACAAAAAACATTTATAAACTCAAAATTCGACAAGCTGTGCTTCGACTTTTCCTCCTCTACTCGTTTCCGTGGTTCCAACGGTTCGTTTAGAAGTTTCTGAACCGAATAAATAAGCCGCATTTCTTGGTGACGTCAGAACTTACACAAAATGCGTGATTTCAAATCGTTTCGAATACGCTTCAACAAGAAAATGCAACTTCAATATACTAGCTCGCAAACGTTGCAAAACGTCAGGGAAACATCACGCATGCGCCAAAACATCAAAAAACATCCAAAAAAGTGGAAACTGTGTTGACGCAGGCGTAACGCTATATCATCATAACAGCTACATAATTATATTCTACAGAAATTGGCCACTTTTGAAGTATAAGTCCTATTCTCCAACTAGATAAAAGAAAACTGATGTCGATGCCTGAAGGTCGATTCTCAGGCAAAACTCAATGGTGAAAACCACATTATCGATATCTGTCTCCGTTTTGGAGTTACAAGGTGATTTTCGAAAACGGTCATTTTTGAAAACTGTAAAGCATTGAGTTTATGCCAACAATCATTCCTGAGGCACTGAATTCGGCCTTCCTATATCTTGTTCAAGAATATGTAACTTGTTCTACTCTATGGAAAAGTTCTATTTCGAAACTAGGTATATGGTGACTAATTTCAGTGCTTGAGGATCAATTTTCATGACGAACACAATGCTTTGGAAATGTTATATATACGGTTTAACCGACAAAAATTATCACACTCTCCTATGTATAGATTGCTTGCGGACATTTCCGTATACAAGGAAAGACAATGCCAGAGGACGAACGGGGAAATATCGAGACTGTATGTTTTAGAAATGTAGGCATGAGGATGTTTCTTTGAGGCGTAATAGGACCTTCCCAAAGAGGTCTTAGAAGGATATTGAAAGTATTGTTTTTGTTCTTTTGTGCCCTTTCTTTGTTTGCCCCACCACAACGTCTCATGCTTACGTCACAATACGATGAATGCTGATTTGTTTTCGATTTTGTTCTTCTTGTTCGCAATTGGCATTCGCGTTTGCAGCGTGTCACGCTTACATCACGCTGCTAACGAACAGAAAGGAATTTGGTGAAGTTTATTGTGTTAGAAGACTTATTTAATTTGTAATAATGACCATCAGATGCAAGATGTGTTGTTCGGTGCCTCAGTGTAATCAATATATAAAAGTACGAATTTATCACTACACAGCTTCTCCGCAGTTGCAAAATTATGCATTGTGGAGAACATTTCAAAAATTGGGAAACCTATTTCCAATTATATGTCTGTGTGTAGTAAGCACTACTCAGAAACCGATTAAGAAGGTAATTTCATATCAAGAAAATATTTTTTCCTCCGATTGGCAGCAAATATTAATTTTGCTGACACATATCAATCAGCAAAGTATTACTTTTCCTGCCTAGGCAGCAAAGTGGGTACTTTGCTGCCTGGGCAGCAGAGTGGTTACCTTGCTGATTGATATGTATCAGCAAAATTAAAAATCCATAAATCATTTATAATTTCCTTCATATTCCATCCGAGACTTCTCCGGCAACAAATTCAACTCTATATTTTTTGCCACCTCCCTTATTAATGGAGGTGTAAGTATACTTCCAGGTCGCTATCACTGTCCATTATATGATAATTCGAATATACCGATATTCTTTCGCACAACTGTCAGAAATTTCATGAATTGTCAAACCAACAACTGCGATTTCTATCAAATTTTATTTTAATTGAACACTATACAGGAAGACTAAAGAGATTGTGGGAATTGTATTAATTCGCAAAAACAATATTCTCCCATATCATTATGAACAATCGGAGAAAAAATTATATGTTCAACTCGGCAGCAAAGTAGATTGACTGCCTTAGCTGGATTCCTAGCCTCGCTACGCTCGGCTATGAATTCAGCAGTCAATCTACTACTTTGCTGCCTAGTTAAACAATTAACTATTTATGTTCAATCTATTTTTAATGCATTTTTCCATTCAAGGGAAATGGAATCCTAATGCAGAAGTTCATTTTGACAAAAGGCTTCAGAAAAGTACCTCGAAAATGTTTTTTAACAGCGATTTAATGTGCGCAAGACGCGTTGAAAATGTTTTGTTGTGTCCATGAAAATGCTTCAGAAAGAACTAGGGAGAAGGTAGTTTTGTGACATATCAAGGACATCTCGATAATTGCAGCCTGCGGCGGACATTGGCTGTTCTATAATAGTTCTATTCATGTGTGAACAGAACATCGCAGTGGAGGTTCAATGTCTCGAAATCTCGTACTTTTAACATCTCTGAGATGTTTTTGTGCTAGCTGGGCATCCTGCCAGCGATGCTTCGTATAGTGCATGATTTCGAGTGACTTCTTGAATTGGAAGTATTCTGCCGCTTGGTGTGTGATGAAAACTCGACCTTCCTGCCGATTGGTTGACGGACGACCCGTTGGCTCAATTGGCAGAGCGTTGGCCATGTAACCCAGAGGTTGTGAGTTCGACTCTCACACGGGGCGGTGGAGTTTTTTCATATCCATCGTCACTCGAAATCAGGGCTTTCCATCTTCATCATTATATGTATCTTTTCGGTCGAGTAATCGACAAAAATTATCACCCACTCCTATGTATTTTCGAGACACACCAACACTTCTAGAGCGTCATTCTTGTCTAGTAATTGTGAGAACCCAGAAACTAACACCGTCAAGAATATAACTACGGCGAAAAATCTCAGTTCCATATAATAATAGAAGATGACATTTCCGGGATATTTCCATCGTTGGAGTATGTTCATGAGCCGAGAATAATACACGTCACCGTCAGACTATTCATACATCCAAATTCCAGTATCTCATATACATATGATATTATTTGACAAATACATACTCACCAGTAGAAAAGTCATGGTTGCCATCACAGTCGAGGTTACGGGAAACCCATAATACTGCAATAAAAATCCACCAAGAGATGGTCCTATCACTTCCCCAAGGGAATACATACACGACCAAATGCCGGCTACTACGCTGTATGTGGCTATAGAATCAATGCAACCAGCATCACTGAAAAAGAGTCCAATCATGTCTGTTATTCTTCAGAGCATGTTATGGTAAACTATCATGATATTATTTGATACATATACGATTGAAAGAGGACTACAGATGCTCTGGCACGTTTGGATTTTCGCGAAGAGGACTTTATCCCCCCTTTCATTTGCATTTTGTTGCAACGTGGCGAAAGGAGATATGTCCGGAATAACGGTAGCAAAATAAATAATTGTAGGGCTGAGGATTTGAAACAGATTAAGAGGTGGTACAAGTATAGGGTCTTGAGATTTATATCATCAGTTGGTATCGGATGGCATGATTCTCATCATGATGCCTTTGGGACATTATATGTCATTTCGTGATCAGATAAACGGTCGGAATTTGAAGCCGACTCTCCTAAGTTTGATCCCGTGACTTTATGGCCTTTCGTCTTATGGTATATGGTATAAGCAGTTCAGATAGTAGGTTATATCGGAGGATGAAACTCGATCATCAGGGATCTAATAATAAGATGAACACGAATAACTGTCAATGCCTTTCAATGACAACATGCACTTTTGAAAGTGAATATTTTAGGTCAAATACCGAAAAAAACAGTTCATAGACCACTGTACAAAATAGAATTCTCGCCTCACTTCCTAATTTCCAGCTGTGCTTAAAATGTCTGCTGTATGAACTCTGGTAGAAGTGTAGTTACTATTCATTTATACACTCTCATCTTATGTTTGTGTCTTTTATACACAGGAAAAAATTTAGATTTCAGCTCACAACCTGAGTTAAAATCTATTACTTTTTTCCTTGAATAATAAAAAACTCATGTATCATCTTCGAATAACAACAAAGTATCATTATGCGAATGTACTTACGTCGCACTAGTGAGGACTCCTTGGAATGTTGGAATCAATGCTAATGCAACGGAAATTCCCAATATTGACAGAGCTACCAAGTCCAACCATAAACTCCTGAAATTGAAATTAGATTTGATGTATTTTGAATATAGGTACTTGAAAAGAATAACCACTACATACTTCCACATCTTCAGAAATATATCATTTATACCTCAAGTCATTCATTCTAATAAAAAATGACAGCTTACAGTTTCGAAAAATGCTGGCTGAGCGCCATCTTGGATTATTTTCCAAATGGAACACCCCGTATATTATTCCATTCTTGAAATCCCCAAATAATTTTCAACAGATTCATCTGATACAATTTATTCTTAAATTCGATAGTTTTTGAGATATTAGCGTTTGAAAAGTAACAACTTGGTCATTTCGAACCCAATCAAAATCTCTAATGTCGCTCACAATTCAATCTAGTTTGATTTGACAGTTGACAGGATGACACCGCGACAACGTTTTTTTTTACTAAGCACACTTGTAAAATGACCAAAATGTCACTTTCCAAACGTTGATATTTCGAAAACTATTGAATTTAGCAGTAAAGTGTATTGGTCAAAACTGTTAAAAATCATTAGAAGATTTCGAAAATGGAACAATATAATATGAGGTGTTGAAATTGAAAAAATAATTCAACCGCCGTTTCAAAACTTCTTCTTCATAAAAAGTAGGTTTCTATTTAATATTTTAGCGTTGTCTTCACTTTGCGATATACCAGGTGGTTTAAGAAGTAGTAAAATTTCCTAGGTTGTAGCACCGAACTGTTCGGTGGTTGTAGGTTCTACCTACTTGAGCAAGAGTCACCAATTGAATGAGAAATATATTACGTGAATAAAACACAAAACACAAAGTCAGTCGACCACAATTTGTACGTGCAAAATTAAAATCAAAAGTTACCGGTTTCGGCACAACGACCTTCATCAGAGTTAATACAATTATACCAACAATATCAATTGTTGCATGATAATGAAACCTAAGTGTTAAAAAATGACCCATGGTATATACATTCCTCTCTTCTCTGCTTTGTCTCTAGCTATATATCACCATTTTCTTACATTCTCATAAACTCATAAAAAAATGTTTATTTGAATAGCTGTGATATTTCAATATTTTGTAACTGTTTCTCAAGCACAGAATCATGACATTCCTCATTTCCATGGCAGACTATTCAAATACACTGCTTGCTATTGATGAATTTTCTTCAATATCGAATTACTCAATATCGAGAGAAAATCATCATAAGTTGAAAACATGCGATGCGGGATTGAATTATTGTCCATCATCTACTGCGAGAAATAATGGCATTCCATGCATCTGGAAAAAAATAATAAGGTATAGGTGCGAACTAACACAAAAAAATAAAAAATCAAAAGTCTGCATATCTTGAAAAAAGATAGACTTTGGTACAGGAAAGGCTTCTGACGATCATCTTAAAACATCATGAGGAATCTGGATAAGAAACAAAAATGTAGCTTTCTATTCGAAATAACGAATTTGATGTTCACTTCCGGTATGACCGGAAGAAAATATTATACTGTAACCCCCGGTATCCCCTGTACAAAATTTTCTTGATCAATATCAATATTAGAACTATAAATACTTCAAATGTTCAGTCAAAATGGAACATATGTATATGTTTATTTCAGAATTTTCAAGAGCACCTGGTTTCTTGGTAGGTCATCAGCATGACATCTCCAAGTTTTTGGGCTTCTTACTCAACAAACAACGAGATCGAGAGAATACCTTCAATTCTTCTCGTAATTTCTCTGAAGAGAAAGGAGAAGCTTTCACAATGCTGGTGCAAACTTTTTTCAGCAGCAAGATGCTGACTGTTTCATGATGGTTGGTTTGTGAAACGGAGAGCGATCGTGTCGATCTATTTAGGGAGCTGCAACTGTCCTTCCCCAACACCAACTTCTCTGAGAACCAGACCGAGCAGTCGCTGCTGGACTACTGCTTTCAGCCGGAGAAATTGACCGAAGATAACCAATACTACTGTGAGATTGACCGTCAGAGAACACATAACCAAGATCATGGAGGCGCCACCACGATTGATTTTAACTCCGAAGCTCTTCCGGTACGATCCTTCCTCGCACCAGAGTATCAAGATGCAACATTCCGTATGTCTTGACGAGCATCTCATTATCGACAGCTGGATTTACCAGCTTTACGCGGTTGAAATCCACTACGGCTCATGTGTCGATAGCGGTCACTATTACACCATCTCCAAAGACAAGAATGACTGGTACCAGTTCAATGATGGCTCCGTATCAAGAACTTCGTCTGATAAGCTATCCCGACTAAGATCCCCCGAAACGCCATACATCATCTTTTATAGCCTTTCTCCTATTCCTCCCTCTCAGACTCCAGATGATTTTGGATCTGGACCATCTTGAATTTAACGAGTTCCAGCAATAACGGCAGCATTTCATTGATATGTTTCGTCTTTATATTGATTCTTGCAATAATTAACTCAACACTCAGGTTTTATTAGTATCATGAAGCAACCTTTATTTCTATCGTGCCGAAATCGAAAACGTGACTTTTTTTATTTTATTCTTGAGTGTGGTCAACTGACTTCATGTTTCGTGGTTTGAGGAATGAGTGAATTCCTTACGATTCAAGATAAGGTATGAATGGACAAGGGCCAAGCAATAGCAGTCCCACTGTACACATCAAAAGTCCAGCTACCATCATAGACCAATGGTTATTGACCTTATCAGCTAACCAACCCCAAGCTGGACTGGAAATCCCGTATAGGGCCGAAAATAGGAGGAAGACTAGTCCTACTTTCTCAGGACTAAGATTGAACTGGAAAAGAGAAAAAATTAACTAGAAAATTCTACAACAGTAATGTTCAATCAACCAAATTGTTTTTTTTTGACAAATCACCATAGCAACATCATATGTATTTTAGTCTTTTTTTTCCAAGCGGCATGGAAAGTGGCTTTTTGCTGACACTTAACAGGCAGGAAAGGTGCACTTTCTAGAAGTTATGGCTTGTCTGATAGATTTAATGACATCCGGTATATCCAAAATATGATCCAAGTTGGAATTTAAAGTAATTATACCGCAGGCGTTAGGGTACTTTGATTTGAAATTAGGCATCCTATTATTAAACTTCAATTAACGAGGACTTGATGAAATTTGAGGATCTTCATCAATGAATACTGATAGATAAAAATGAAACTGATAATAGACATTTTTAACAAGAAAATGAATAAAGTCAAGATCTCGAAATTTGTAACCAAACCAAGAAAAAAAACGTAAGACATATGATTCGATTTGATATTCACCGAGTTCGAATACTATATTGGATGAGTCAGTTTTTGTAGCAAGACTTTAACACCTTGGGAAACACATATTTTCAAATATGGGTGGGAGCTTCGTTTCCGATATATCAACTATAAAAACTGCCAGAAACGATAGATACCTATAGAATAAACACACTTGTGGAAGAACTATGAACTCAATGGAATGATCATAATCCCCGACTTCACTCTAGGGTTAATCTACTCGAGAGGTCAACTCACTTGTCTCAAATGAGGCTCCAAGGTAGGATCTAAGAATGCCCAAGTACTAGAGACTATCATAACAACCATACATGTTACGATAACAGCAGGAACTTTGATCAATTTCAGCATCGATGTGGATTTGTTTGTCACATTATCATGGTCTGAAAATAAAGTCATTATCATCAATGCTATAGTTTAGGAACTTACTATAAAAAAGTCGTTGAATAGAACTCATACATTATCACTGAGATGACCTTCAGAACAAATATTTACTAACGGAAGGAAGGAAGGCTCTGAGTCATCTCCACAAATTTCAATGGTGTTGTTACAAAATCATAAGGGATATGTTATGGTCTTCCACAATAAGTAGCATCACATTTTTTCAACTCCAAGTAATTCAAGAACAAATTATGTAATTCTTTCACATCAATCTTTCCATATTGTATAACTCTCAATTAGGCTGAAGATAGTCTTTTATAAGACCGAAACATGTCCCTTATAATTGTGGAACAACGCCATTGAAATTTGTGGAGATGACTTAGAACCCTCCTTCCTTTCTTTGAAACATTTCACTTTACTTTGAGCAATATGGACTTCTACCAAAGATGATTACTACCTTAAATATCAGAGGTCATTGTTTTTTCTATCAACAAGAAAAAATACTCTAACCGGCAGCAAAATCGATAGCAACAAAACATTTTGCCAAATTGATCGCCCTGTCACTTTTCTAATTTTTGTCCTATTCGGGTGAAATTTTGAACAAATCGTAGATTTATGTTTTGGGGTGTTAGCCTGTCATGTAAACAGCTGATGGCTTGATCATTATATAGGGAAAAACGAAAGTTACTCTATCACCCTCAACTTCTTAACGCTTTGTGGTGAAGGTGAGTTATTAAATAGCTTCATCATGTTCTGGATTGAAATTCTATCCCTTATTTATAACACAATGGTTTTCATTTCACGTCAACATTTTCTTTTCGAGAGAAAATAGTGTTTTAAGATAGTTTGGATTTTCAAAATTTTTATTAACAATAATTCTGAACCATTCTTCCACCTTCTGCTGTCACGTTGGACATTTCGAAAGCATTCGACCGTGTTTGGCACGACAGACTCCTCCACAAACTACCATCATACGGCTTACCACCTCAGCTATGCCAACTCTTATCGAATTTTCTTTCAGGCAGATCTCTTTACGTGGTGGTGGACGGTGTATCGTCTGATACCATTGGCATCAATTCCGGCGTTCCATAAGGATCAATATTGGCACCAACATTATTCCCTCTTCATATCTGTTGGGAGTAACAACTTGCCCCATCCACAGCTTTGCAGATGATAGTACCCTCCATACTGCGTTCTCTTCCAGAATTCCCATTTCTTCCCAGGAAACTATGAACTCACGGCGCAGGCAGGTCAATGCTGTCAATGAAGACCTTGCTGAAATCACAGCCTGGGGAACTAACAACCTTGTTCAATTAAACGCCACCAAAACTCAAGTCTGTATTTTCTCTAGAAGGGCGGAGCTCAGTATGCCCGATATTGTAATGTCTGGCACCACCATACCCACCAAGCCCACCATATCTATGCTCGGTATTTCCATCAGCAACACTCTTTCATGGGATAATCATGTCAGATCCATCGCAAAAGCTGCTTCACAAAAACTCGGATTCTTGTTCTGTGCGAAAAGCTACTTTACACCTCAACAGCTTCTCATGATCTACAAAGCGCAGATACGGCCTGTTCTAGAATAATGTTCCCACATATGGGGTTCACCATCAAAACATACGCTGATGCTCTTAGATTCCATCCAGAGAAGAGCTATTCGCCTGGTGGGTGACGCCACAGTCACTCACTCTTTGACATCATTGGAACACCGTAGAAAGGTCGGCGACTTTTTACTTTTCTATCGATACTTCCACGGGAACTGTTCTTCGGAAATCTCTGCTGTCATCCCTTCACTAGCAATAGCAGTCAGACGAACTAGACGAGTCCAGTCAGCACATCCTTTCGTAGTCAACCTTGAAAGATGTCGAACAGCAATTTGTCAAAACTGCTTCATCCATAGAACGGCTAGGCTCTGGAATTCATTGCCTGAGGAAGTATTCCCAACAACATATAATCTCCAGAAGTTCAAAAAATATTCCAATACCTACCTCCTGTCCCTATCCTCCCTAGGAACGCACGATGTTCTTTGAACATTATAGGGATTCCCTTTAGTGCGCTCCAAGCGATAAAAAAAAATAAAATCAAGTTTTGAATTGAAGTGTGTTATCTCCTTTCGTCCTTCCTTAACACAATGGTTTGCGATTCACGTCAATATATTCTTTTTAAGAGAAGATTCAAGTGTTCTAAGAAAGTATTGAATTTTTTAATTTTTACTTCAACAATAACTAACCTAAGAACATCTTCGGGATGAACTCCAGAAGCTCAATCACCCTCCTTCGGCCTTGTCAGAGACTCTTCAAGAGCTATGAATTGCCGATCAAAAAATTTTGGGGTAGTTCCTCAACAGTGCTTGAGGATCAACTCGATGAATGGGCGAGTGGCTCATCTCAAACGTACCGTCATGGCCTCCATTTGACGATACGTCGAATAAATGGTGATGTCAGCTTTTATGCTGTTTCGTTATTGGTCAGATAATCTTCCATTCCCACTCACGAAGCAAGGTTGTCAAGTCACCAATTATAATCAAGTTATCAAGAAGATGTCAGAGTCCTGTCGTTGAATAAAACACTATAGGAGGAACCCATGATATTATAGTTCATTCTCGACTATTTCGGCAACCAGCATGTCCAAATATTTCTTATACTCCATAACAAAATATCATGTAAATGTTTGGGACTTGGCAACATAGTGCTGAATGCTGAGAAGGGACAAGACCACGCCCACAAGTAGTGCTCGCCGTGTTGTCATGTTCACCGCTTCAAATATCCTCTAGTGTGGATTAATATAGGTAATAACTATTTACACAAATGTATTAAAAGCAATAAGCCACAAATATTAAGGGAATATTTTGAGACAATTAATTTGGTATCGCTAAATAGGGATAATAATAATAATATGTCCTCATTCATATTGCCCGAATTACTGAATAATCAAAACCTCGATGGTATATACACAAAATTTATCAGACAATATGTAAGGGCGGAATTCAGTCTCCATTCAACCCATAACATCATGGTATGTTCGTAAGTACTACATATATAATCCTGATTTATTGAAAATAAACGGATAATCAGTTCGTACCAGTGAATATACAAAATTATATTTGAGATACAGAAATTGAATGCTATTTATTCATAATTATCAAGTGAATACTGAAGTTCTAAGTCCGTGGAATTGACTACTTAGGCTATAAAGATAAATATTTTCAACAAATATATTGACTTGGTTCAACTAGACGAAAAAAGAGAAAGAAGAAGAAAATAAAAAGGAATTAGAGTTCAATTGGACAACATATAATATGATCATATCGATGATGATATTGTAGGGAACTAGAAGCGATCAGTTTTATGGATAACATGTTCAAACCTCCATTTGGTACCTATATACATTGGAAATCATACTATATCAAACCTACCCTCAAACAACATTTTTTTTTAGTGTAGTTCTGAATTTGCATTTATTCATCATTTTCAGCGAGTCAGGGATGGCGTTATAAATTTTGGATGCATTGATGTATGAGAATGATCGTTGGTATAGTGACGTATGGTGCTTAGGACAGTTAAGGCTGGTTAAGGTGATACCTATATCTGGTGTGTTGATTGTGTGAACATCTTGCCTGAACTCAAGTTTTTCATATAAATATACTGGGGATTGATCTTGAATTAAATTATGAGTATTCACATAATCAAGGATATAATCGAGAATTTATGAATGTTTGAATAACTATTATTTCTGAAGTTCCCAATCGTATTTCAACACATGGCAACTGTGTATGGACTACCCCTACTTACGAAATCGTGACGTCAGTTATTGCTTGCGGTAAATTTCTATCCGTTTGAAAATCACCGTGCCTTATTGATGATTTTAGCACCAAAAAATTGGCCGAAAAATTCTAAAAACATATGAAATTGAAAGGTATGTGAGTGATGATTCTATTTGAGAAATAAAAAAAATAGTCCACTCGCCTATTGTAATTTGAGGTCGAGGAAAGTTGTTTCCAGTTGTGTATCGATTAATTCATGTAGGTTCTGCAAATTTGAAATATCCATGTATTCTTGAAACATATATATCTTCTCTCAAAAAGAACATATTGACGTGAATCAATAACAATTGTAGTGGGAAGGGATCACACTTGAATCCAAAACATCATTTTTGCCACAGGGCATTAAGAAGTTTTATGTGTGGAGTGGTAACTTCTGTCTTGCCCTGTATAATGATCAACCCATCAGCTTTTTTTAAACAAAAATCCATGTAAACATTTAAAAACATAATTCTACGGTTCGGTAGGAATTTCATCAAAATTGCAAAAGAATTAAAAAAGTTAGAAGGCGATAAGACAAAATTGTTGAACATTTACTTTATTAATACAGGGTGTCCGCTAAAAGGAGGTCAATCCATTAACCACATATTCCTTGAACAAAAACAATATGAGTTTCTAAATATCATTTTTCATTTTAGCCCTTCATATTCGGTATACAGGGTGTCAAAGTTGGAAATTAAAAACTGTTTTTTTCTAATTACTCGCGTATTTGATAAGATATTAATCTCAAAATTGGTACATTACTTCAGCACAAAGAGTTACATCGTGTGAGGAAAACAAAACAGAAAATAACTGTCAAATATTCAAGATACTGGGGGTCAAGTTCACACTTACCCCCATATTTTGTTTGTACGTGCGCTAATGACTTCCTATCTATTTTCCTTCAAGTGTTCAATCATTTTTGAGTATTTTTTGTTTCCTGTAAAATTTCGATTGAATCATTTGTTTTTAAGATAATTCGAAAAGTACTGGTTATTGTTTGATGCCTATGCGGCTTACGTAATCTCATAATGTTCACATACTCCTATTTATTTCGTCGAAATTGAAAGAGGGCGTATCTTTTTACGTACGAAAAGGTAAATATGGAAATACCGGGTGCTCGGAGCAAATGTACTAAAACAATTTTTACAAAAAAAAATTTTTAAAAGTGTAAAAATTATTTTAATACATTCGCTCTGAGCACCCGGTATTTCCATATTCACCTTTCCGTACGTAATAAGATACGCCCTCTTCCAATTTCGACGAAATAAATAGGAGTATGTGAACATTATGAGATTACCGTAAGCCGCAAGGCATCAAACAATAACTAGTACTTTTCGAATTATCTTAAAAACAAATAATTTTATCGGAATTTTACAAAAATCAAAAAATACTCAAAAATGATTGAACACATGAAGAAAAATGGATAGGAAGTCATTAGCGCACGTACAAAAAAAATATGGGGGTAAGTGTGTACTTGACCCCCAGTATTTTGAATATTTGACAGTTATTTTCTGTTTTGTTTTCCTCACACGATGTAACTCTTCGTGCTGAAGTAATGTACCTATTTTGAGATTGATATCTTTTTAATTACGCGAGTAATTAGAAAAAAACAGTTTTTAATTTTCAACTTTGACACCCTGTATATCGAATAAGAAGGGCTAAAATGAAAAATGGTATTTAGAAACTCATATTATTTTTGTTCAAGGAATATATGGTTAATGGATTGACCTCCTTTTAGCGGACACCCTGATATCATGTCCATGCTTGCTCTCTATCTCGATAAACGATTTTGAGAACCCTTGTTGAATATTCCCATCCATACTTACCTCATTGATACTAACAATATCGTTATAATGACAGTGAGATTCATAATCAAATAATATATTAAGTTACAAACTGAATTCCTATTCATGAAACCCTGCCTAATTCTTAAAAAATAATCAATGCTTGATTACAAACATGATTCCATACTCTTCATCAACTCGGTATAACTTTTTTCTGCTAGATACTCCTTACCTTCAGCTGCAGGCAGAAGCAAGATGTTCACTGGAATAGTAACTACCATAGCTATACCTATCACGAAGAATGGCATACTGAATCCACCGACCTATCTAGAAAAAAATAAAATTCATTACATTCCTTTTAATGTCTGCGACTGGCTTAAGTATTTGTACATACCGAGTACAAAATTCCTCCCACAGCTGGACCTGTACTCATCCCAAGGCCGATGAAGGTTTCCAAAATCCCCTGGAACAATATCCACCAATGAGCATAACTATAAACTATGAAAGTCTGGTGTACGATATAATGTTCAACCGATTGAAAGGTGCAATTATCGAAGAACAACATGGATTTTTCGCACACCGTGCAATTGAAACAAACTTAGTAACGTACACTCAATATATTTGTAATCAGATGGATGAGCGAGTTCAGGTAGATTCTATCTACACCGACTTCAGTAAGGCTTTCGATAAAATCGATCATAACATATTGATGCTTAAACTTTCTGAAGTTGGTGTACATGGCGATCTCTTACGATGGTTTTCTTCGTACGTTTTTAACAGAACCCAAATTGTGAACATTAATGGTTATCAGGCTAAAGCTTTCACAGTGACCTCAGGAGTGCCACAAGGCTCACACTTAGGTCCTCTGCTATTCCTGATCTTCATTAATGACGTGAAAAAGTGTTTCATAAATTCTAAATTCTTACTTTACGCAGACGATCTAAAAATATATTCTAAAATTGAGTCTCGTGAGGACTGTGCAAAACTAAATTCTGATCTTCTGAGGTTCTCACAATATTGCGAAAAGAATAGACTATTCTTAAACATAAATAAATGTTTCATTATCTCATTCACAAAAAACGTCAAGAACTTTGAATTCAGTTATAATATGTCAGGTACTATTTTGAAGAGAGTGGAGGAAATCAAAGATCTAGGGCTTATTTTAGATTCCAAAATGAATTTCAACAAACATTACGATTATATAATAAGTAAATGTAATAAAATGTTGGGCTTCCTCACTCGAATTTGTAAAAGTTTTAAAACTCAGAAATCATTGAAATCTCTTTACTTTGCATTTGTTTACAGCAAGTTAAATTTCGCAAGTGTGATTTGGAATCCAGGATATACCTACCGTATATAAACTACGGATCGAAAAAGTACAAAATAGATTCGTAAGATTTCTGAATTTTAAAATAAATGGAACCTATAACATTGAAAATATTCATCTAGTTCGGCAGTCGTTTGGTATTTTGGAACTAGAAAAACGAAGAATAATCACTGACTTAGTCTTCACGTTCAAGGTTCTAAGGAATCATTATGACTGTCCAACATTATTATCATTTTTCTCTATACATATTCCTCCTAGGAATACTCGCAATAATTTCTTTCTCAATATAGATTATCGAAATACAAATTTAGGCCGTAATTCTCCAATTATTAGGTTAAGTAGTAGTTTTAACAAATATTGTAGTATTGATATTTACTGTATATCTTTATTCACTTTCAAACAAAGAGCTAAAAAAATATTTCTCACCTAAAATTCCAAAATTGTTCAACATTTCAAATTTCACTTTAACTATCATATTTTTACTCACTTCATTATAATACGAGCTGTCATGTAACATATTGTATCAGCGGATACTTTTTTGGGTTTTGAACCTGTTTGTATCCCAAAGTTGTAATAAATAAATAAATAAATAAATAAACACAGATATAACAGGAAGAAGAGTTGTTCACATATTGTTCTTTCTGCAAACGACTCAGAAGTCCTCCATTTTAATTTCAAAATAAGCTCTTGAAGTTGACGTTTCAATCACTGACACAAAAAAAGTAATGGTGCTAGGCAATCCTTTCAATTCCTAGGAGCTTAAATTGAACTTTAGCTCCTAGGGACTAGAAAAGATGTACTGTCTGTATTCATCATACAGGACGTGGAGAGAAATTCAGAATTGAGAAAACCTAATCACGAATCTGATGATATTGAGGGTCAATAAAAATAACAAGTTCCCATCGTTCTCAGATAAATTATGAACATGAAAATATGGACATACATATAAACAAAGAAATACATTGATGAGAATATCAATTATTTTTCAAAGAAATACATTGAGAATTCGCATTCTCTATATGATGGGAATATCAATTCTTTTTCGGTTTATTCAACATAAAACAACTACTTTCCAAGCCATATGCCACGACGACCATTGAATTATATCTATTGAACACACACGATGAGAATTTGAAAACAAAATATTCTGAAATCAAGAATTTGCATCCTTCAGATTAAAATATGTATATTACGGATAAATAATATGCTGTATTATGATATAAAAATATGTATAACTTACCAATATGTTCAGTATCGAAATGAAAATTGAAATGTATAGGAGAAGTTTACTTGTATAAAGTCTGATCTTGATACAGTCTATATGGTATCACAGAAAAGCCCATCGAATGAGCTTTCAGATTATGGAATAATATACAGGGTGATCCATTTAGAAAAATGAGTTTCGGCGATTTGAAAAAGCGAAATTTGATCCTTATTTTAAAACACTTTTGAATGAACCCAAATAATATCTGAGTCTCTACACATACTTTCACTATCTGCATAGATAGTTTCCTTGAAAATTTTTCAACATTCATGTTTTCTCGTCAAATTTGATTAAAATGTTAATAACTTGACAAAGTCGTATTGGATCCTCAAAGACAAAATAGGTTTGTAAAGCCTAAATGAGACAGACTCCGAAAATAAAATAATATACAGGGTGTGCCTTTTAATCTTTCACCCCGGATTCATGGTGCACCCTGCATAATCGGAAATAATTTCTGAGAATAATTTTGAAGTCCTCAATTACTTTCGATGAAATTTCGTTTTCTATCTCTATCAGCCTAGCAGCTATAGTCCGAGCGAGCATAGGTTTCGACGATGCAATCGCTGCTGTGGCCTGACCATTGGTAAGATTGTTATTTAGTTATTTCTTTGAATATGTGTTATATTGAGGCATGTGCGGATGGAAAGGAAGATATTCATAGGATTATTTTATAATCATCTTGTGCAATAAAAACCGGCCACCAAAAACTTTAGCCAAGTTGTTTACCCTGTAACATTTTTAATTCTTGTCCGATTTTGGTAAAACATCAACCAAATAGTATATCCATGTTTCAGAATATTGGCCTGAATATTAGTACCTAGGAGAAGCTGATGGCTTGATCATTGTACAGGGAAAAACAAGAGTTACTCTTTCACCCTCAACTTCTTAACACCCTGTAGCAAATGTGAGTGGTTAAACTTAGCTTCATCATGTTCTCGATTGATGTGTGATCCCTTTTTGACACAATGGTTTTTGATTCACGTTGATGACCACTTTTTAAGAGAACGTGTTTTCAGAAAGAATGGATTTTTCGATTTTTATTAACAATAATACAGAACCATTCTCCAACATTCTGCTTTATCATGTTTCGAATTGAAGTGTTATCCTATTTCGTCTCTGCTCAACACAATAGTTCTAGATTCACGTCAATATCCTATTTTCAAAAAAATATACACGTGTTTTGAGAAAGAATGGATTTTTTAAATTTCTTCAACCATAATTCAGAACCAATAATAGGGCATCTTAGGGATGAACTCATTCGTGTTCGTCCGGCGTTGTCAGAAACTCTTCAAGAGCTATAGTTCGCCCTTCAAGGAAAATTTAAGCAATTCTCTCGGCAATTCTTCATGACTACTTTAGAAAATTGATCAAATCGAGGCCAGGTTTTTTTCGGTAAGTTCTAAAAAAATTAGGTAGAAATAAGTGATATTAATTTAACACTCGTATCTTCTCTTAAAAATAAGTTCATGACGTGAATCGAAAACAATTGGGTCAACAAAAGATGACACTCCAATCCAAAACATGATGAAGCCAAGTTCAACCACTTAATTTCGCCAAAGGGCGTTAAGAAGTGAAGGGCGAAAGAGTAACTTTGGGTTTTCCCTGTATAATGATCAAGTCATCAGCATTTCACAGTAACTAATATTCAGGCTAACATTTCGGAACATGAATCTACGATTTGATCGAAATTTCACGAAAATCGGAGAAGTAATAAAAAAGTTACAGGGTGAACAATTTGGACAATTTTTTTTTGCCGGTGTGATATAACATGTGGTCCTCTTTGGTTGTGAATCATCACCCTATACGATCTTAATAGCTTCATGAGGTTGCTATGTAGCAATCCCTTCGATAGCAATCCTAGCATCCTTCACTGATGATAAATTAATTATTGTTAGTTAGGATGTGGATACTCACCAGTACTGATCCAATGTTGTTCGGAAAAGCATTAACAACGAATACGTAACTTGCAGTAGAAAATGCACTGGCTCCCAGTGCTTCGAATCCCCTGACCAATAAGCAGAATGTCAAGAAGAGGGTATAATTTTGAATATACTCCAAGAACCTAAAACAAAAAAAAATTAAAGCCCACATTTTTTCTGAATGTTATTCCTGATTATACTATAGGATGAAAAAAATATTGGGCGCATTCAACATAGCTTGTATGGCAAACATCAGAACAAAAAAATGTGCCAAAAAACAGAAAAGGGATATTCTGTAATGTTAAGAGAACATCGTGAGAACCAAGGGAAATAAGGTAGGAATTGGTGTTCTTCTTGAATTTCTGGAGGTTATATGCCTCGGGGAACACCTCCCATGGCAATGTGTTCCAGAGCCTAGCTATTCGTTGGATGAACGAGTCTTTAGAAAGAGATGTTCTACAGGTCTCCAAAGTGAGCACGAAGGAGTGCAAAGCCTCAACTCTACGGGTTGATCTCGCGGGGACTGCCAAGGGAGGAACAATTGTTGATATTTCAGAAGAGCATCGTCCATGAAATTATCTATAAAATAGGGCCCAATCGCCAACTTCTCTACGGTGTTCCAGAGAAGTGAGTGAGTTTGTGAGCGAGGCATCACCCACGATACGAATTACCCTTTCTTGGACAGAATCCAACATTTTCAGGGTATGTTTGGGTGCTGCATTCCAAATATGGGAACAGTATTCCAGTACAGATCGGATCTGTGCCTTATAGATCATAAGCAGCTCACTGGAAGTGAAATAGCTCCTGGCCCGAAACAGAAAATCAAGTTTTTGGGATGCACTTTTAGCAATGGATCTCACGTGATTTTTCACAAAAAAGGTTATTGCTGATAGTAATACCACGCATCGAAAGGGATGTCTTCAGAGGAATGGTTACTCCTGACAAGCTTATGTTGGGCACAGTGAGATCGGCTTTTCTAGAGAAAAGGCATGCTTGTGTCTAAATGTGAAGGCTTATGTATTGCTGTTTGATGGGTATGAGGTGTGTTATATCTATGACCTATATGTGGAGAACAGATGCAAAAGTCACTCACCCAAAGATAATGTTGCAAGCTCCTGCTACAAAAATTCCAAATAGAAACAGAAACTTGGCTCCGAATTTCGGTATCTACAAAAAGCGCTATCAAGGAAAATTGTCATTTAGGTATTTTCCAAATTCCACTACTTACGATCTTTCCCAGTACTGGTGAAGCAACGAACATTACCAAAGCATAAAAACTGAAGACCAGTCCTGACAAGGTATCAGACAAACCTTTTTTGTATGCTTCTTTCGGGAAGAAAGGCGCCATTATAGACATTGAACAGAAACTCATGAAATCCACTAGAGCTAAAGAAACCAACGTCAATTTCTGCTTCGTCGATAGATTTCTCAAAGCGGATGGATGCAGATGTGAATTCATCCTGAAATTAATAATGCAATCGTAATATTTCGATAAAATTTTGAATATCCATCTACAATCTAGGAACTTATCGATGTCAAGAGTTTCAGGTTGACCTTAGGCTTTTACCCTCTTCTAACGCGACCTTTTCATACATTTATGTGTGCCCTTGAAAGCCTTCCGTTCTTTGACTAGTCGCGTCTTCACTACACGACTCCATAGTTCAGTTTCAAGGTTCTCTATGTTTCTTAGAGCTCTTCTCATTTATTCTCAGTGGTAAAGTATATTAACTGTTGTTTCCTCCTCTTCCTCGCAGAATATCCACAGGAGTTCGTTCTTATGCCGAGCTCATATTACTCACATTTTTGTTGAGGCAATGTTGGCTGCATGTAGAGGAATCTTGTCATTTCTGAACATCCACCTATCTCCATCAAACTGACATCAGTTGAGTCTGAAATACACTGTGAGGAGTCTCACCATTAATCTAGTAGTACTTTTTTTGTCTTAGTGAATATTTGTGAATATTGTCGCCACTTTTCTTGAGATGTCATTGCTTACATATTCTATAGGTCGTTTTCTACTAATTGTTTTTGTTTCATTGCAAAACCGTTCTGGTCCATATGAAGCATTTCTCGTTTCTTCTTGGGCTAGCCTCTTCGTTGCTAGCTTCATAAGCTGTGTGTCGGCTGAGGTGAGTGTGTTTCGAATACCTTGATCTTTTATGACTTCATATTAGGACTACTAGTCGACTGCTTTCATAACCCTTTCGAAGGTCAAAGTAGATTTTTTTTTATGTTCTGGTTCCCACGAAAAGGCATATCCGGTAATGTTCAGAGAACATCGTGAGAACCAAGGGAAATAAGGTAGGAATTGGTGTTCTTCTTAAAATTCTGGAGGTTATATGCCTCGGGGACCACCTCCTTTGGCAATGTGTTACAGAGCCTCACTGTTCGTTGGATGAACGAGTCTTTGGAAAGAGATGTTCTGCAGGTCCCCAAAGTGACCACGAAAGGGTGCGAAGCCTCAACTCGACGGTTCAAATTCGCAGTCCCCGCGATATGTTTGGGTGCTGCACTCCAAATATGGAAGCAGCTGACTGTAAGTGAAATAGCACATTTATGTCTTCAAAGGTATGGTTACTCCTGACAAGCTTATGTTGGGCACAGTGAGATCGGCTTTTCTAAAGAAAAGGCATGCTTGTGTTTTGTTTGCATTGAAATCTACCAAGTTAATGGATCCCCATTCGAGAATTCTTGCCAATTCCATATTTATGTTGTCATTATTTCTCCCTCGACGTTTCTGATTTGCCTGGCTGGTATTGGAGCCCTGGAAGAGAAGGCAGTATGGAGGGTATCATCATCCGCGAAGCTGTGTACTGGACATGAAGTTGCTTCCAGCAAATCGTTGATATGGAGTAGAAATAGTGTTGGTGCTAGAATTGATCCTTGCGGAACACCAGCATTTATTATAAGAGATTCAGATGCCACTCCGTCGACCACAACGTGAAGAAACCTGTCTGAGAGAAAAAATAGCTACCAGAGAACATAGCTGAGGAGGCAAGCCATAAGATGGAAGCTTGACGAGGAGTCCGTGGTGCTAACCATAGATTATCTAAGTGCTCTTGAGGTCAGTGTTGCATGATATTTATACCTATATCAATTTCCACTTGGAATTCCAGAGTGCATCGTTTCCAAAGATCAGTGAGATTCGATAAATAGCGGCCCATAAATCCCCTTACGTTTTTGAACCTGAAATATCTGTATACCGGATATCCTCAAAAGTATATAGAGCATTCTTCTGTGGGATAACCTGTGATGAGCTTTCACGGATATTTTAAATTGATTATCAACCCCTGTACAATATGAAATCAAAAATCATCTTTGAGGCGCCTAAAAACATTGCTTATGTGTTGTCTGTTTTACTGGTTCGGTCAGAGGTCGAACGGGTAGGTAAATGTAATCAAGAACACGTGGGCTCGATTCCTGAGCTTGCTGCTTCTTAGACTTGAGTCTAATTATGTTCTGTTCACGGTATATCATATGGAATGGAGCCTTGAAGTCATAGTGGTTTGAATTCCACTTCTTACCTCAACTCGCAAAACCCCCTCAAGCGCTTCTGAGGGTTATTTCAGTAACTAAAGTGAAATGACTGAAATAGAATAAATGGGCGATTGAACAGAGAATGAAAATTGTTTTCCCCTGTTCCAAGTAGACCCCACCCACTGGCGTAACTATGGAGGGGGGGCTGGGGGGTCCGGGCCACCCCCTGGCCTTTTCAGCCCCCCCTCCCCCAGAATTTTTCAAATAAATATCTGTACCAAATAAAGTAGACACGTATCAAGATATTTCATCATATATTTCAACATTAAAAATATCGATGAATTTCACAAGATATAATAATAAAGACGCCCCTGTCCGCCTCTAAACTTGATAACCTAAAGCAAACCAAGGGTCCCTTGATAAAATTTGCTACAGGCTTAATCCGGCACTGTGAATAATATATTCATAGATGGTAAACCCCCGTTATTCACACATTCACTCACCTCAATAATCTCTCCTTCATCCTTCGAATTTCTCCTGGCGAAAATGAATCTGGACACATCATATTCGATAAGGACTTACTTCTATGGTGTGTTCTATATATTGGGTGTCCAATATGTCCCGAATGAGATGATAATGCAAAACTGCTTTTGCTAGAAGTTGTACAACAATTTTCTGATGGTGAAACAGCAGGAATAGATTCTCCTTTTTGCATTTTTCTTCGAGCTGAAAATAAATTTTGTATCTTTCCAATTCTTGGTACATTATACCTATTTATACTTTGTCGCTCTATCGATGGAAACGTTGGAAAAGAAGATGAAGTAGTTTTTGAATTTTTTTCAATACTTTTGGATGTTATAAGTTCTTGATGAGAATACGTTGAGGCAATGAGATGAAGTATTTCTCCGCAGAATGTTCTGAATTTCTTGTGAAAACATGAAATTATTTTGATATCATATACCCTGATGACAATTTAATTTTACATTTTATATACAGGATATGTCACGACGAGCTTTCAAGATACGCTCTCTTCATTTGAAATATCGTTTTCGGTCAAATTTCGGAACACCCTGTATAAAAATATCTTGTTGATGTTCTAATGGTGGTATTTGAATCAAAAATGATGCGTTCTGGATCACATTTGACGTTTTTGAATCACAATTTAGTTTGATATGAATCACAAGATACACGCTGTTTGAATTACACTGCTCACTAATCTGAATTACATATATTATATATAGGCTTTCCGAATCAACAAATTTGAATTATAAATAACTATTCTATTTTACTAATCTGAATCTCAAGGAAGGTGGATAGATATACTGGAAAACAATTGAAAGGGGTGTAGAAATGATCTCAATTTTTCCACTGGAATGTTAGAGAAAAAGTTTTACCATTATTACAACACTTCCCTATATTTCTAATTCAGGTAATTTTACACTCATCGTGCTATGGGTTTTTTTTTTTTTCGAAAACAAATTTTGTTACTTACGTATTATTGTCAAAAAAACAGAAATATGATAATGAAAATGTGAACAAACCATTAGTTTTCGAGTTATTTCGAGAAGAAGTTCGAGAGTTTGCCTTCTTTTTACCCTTGTTTCGGATGCATTTACAGCTACTTGCTCCTATTATTTGTCATTGGACACTTTATATACTAATGATGTACTTCGGTGACACATTTTCAAATAGAAAATTCAATACGAAATATGATTGATTTCAATGGCGAGTTTTTCATAATTAGTGAACAATCATACCAGAAGACGACCATTTAATCAATAATCAATCCAAATACGGCTAATTCGAGATGTCAAATGTTTGATTGCTTTTGAATGATTTTACACACACCATTATTTTGAATGATATTCTTCCTTCTTTTTACTTAATATGGATAAATCGCAAGAAAATTATATTTCTAGTTGACGTTCGTGTATGAAAGAATAATGTGTGATCGAAGTACATCGTGATAAATATATTGCCCAATGATAAAAAAAGAAGGAAAAATTGTTCTAAATGCGATCCAAAAGACATGCGGAAAAAATATGAAATTTGTAACTTTATAGTGAAATATCTTGATAAATCCAGTTTGTTCAAGTGCAAAATTACCCTAATTTACAGTGCTGAAGACGAAATCATGTACCGAAAATGAATTGAAAAATATTCCACCATTGTCGTGTTACCTATTGCGAGAAACGAAGTTTATTTTTGAAATTATGCAACACCCAGATCTTGAGAACTGAACACTTATATTAAGGACATCAATAATGGTCCTACCTTATTCATAACTAAATCATTAGGGCTACATATGTCCGTTGATTTCGCATCACCCTATATTTTGGATCAATCTATTTATTCAACACGTCACATAATATATGTATAGTGCATGCAGAACAGTATAACATCTTATTCAATATGTACCTAACTAACCAAATAATGATAATTATTATTGTCTTACGTTTTTCATCAAAAATATAGAGAAATACACAAACACCAGACGAACACTGAGAATGCAAGAAAATCAAATCTATAGACGTTTATTTCGGAAATGATTTACTGACAAACTAGTTCCTTAATAGTGTGTACCTACTGGTAAATAGCATCGAACAACAACTTTTAGAAATAGGAACTTTTTATCTTTCTCTTATCAGAGAAGAGTTCAGCCTGTGTCGACTAATTCATCTCGTATATACAGTGTGTCCCAGCTAAAACTTGTCACCCCCAAATCTCCGATGTCGTTAAAAAAATTGGAAATTAGTACGGTGTTATTAACCTAAAAAAAGGCCTAACCTTGACATCCAAAGTAAAAGTTTTATTCCAACTCCAAATTGTTCTACATAACCCTCTCATTGTTTGGTAAAAAGTTACACCATTTTGAGCGTCGGGTTTGGGGGGAGGGAGGGGGGAAATTGAAAAATTACTAGTTTTTTTAGTTTTTCGTAAATATTTCAAAAACTAAGCGGTTTATCTTGAACATTGTTGTATACAAAAATGTTCTACGTTAAATTTTAAACAAGAATGGTCCTTTTCATAATCACTCTAAATTGTACGGTTCAAGAGTTACAGATGGTGTAAATGTTAACTTTTTCGTAATTTTGATAATTTTTTAAAAAAATAAGCTTCGTGAAAGAATGTTGCTATTTCAGTGGCCGGTGGTATGTTAGTGATAAGCCCTTGAAGGAACGACAACCTCACCACCTTATCAAGGGGCACTCTTTTTCAGGGGAAAAGAGGCTTCCACAGGCCTAGGCCATATAAACCTGTGATACGGAGAAACCCACCCTGAACTTTTTATGAACATTGCAACATAAATTCACTTCTTGAGCATAAATATCTTCCAAATTTGGAATGTTAAATGTCTTTATTAACTTTACTCATCCTCCAGCACATTATCCTCCTCCTCTAGCTCGTCGTCTAAGATGTTATTATTGTCCATGTTATCACATGCTTGGCCTGAGCAATTGCTTCATATGCTAGTGCAGTTTAGACCACTCCTTCTGCATTCACAATTACGAACGCATTCATGTTTGCAAGTACACATTATAAGGGACAGTAATTCCTGGGGGGCTGCAGGTTGTGCTGTTGTAATTGGTGTCAGGTGGTCGCCAATCTTCTTCCAATCCCACTCGAGTGGATCCTTATCTTCATTCAGCCACTGTTGTACCTGGTGGTAGGTCCTAAATGAATGGTGTCTGGACGCTCCTGAAGTGGGGGGTAGTGCATCCAACTTCAGTAATGCATTCATAGGCTGCTTTGCAATCGCTTTCAAGTAGGACTGGTAGCGGAGACAATCTAGATCTTCAGTGTTCTTGGCTCCAAACATTGCAAGTAGGAAGTAATTTCCTGCATCAGCACCTGCACTGGGGTCGGCTTTGGGGTTGTTGAAGACCAGAAGTTTTTCACGAAGAACGTTGTTGGCTTGAACTTTCCTATAAGGTGCAATTTTTTCCTTCTTATAGACAGCAGACACAGTGTCACATCCTGTGAAGGCGTATGTAACCAGAAGTACATCTTTCATATCCCCAATGCCTTGCTGAATGTCAGAAATAATGTACACTTTTTCCTGGTGATTTCCTTTTTTAGGTACGACCATTTTCAGTTTATTTCCTGAAGATGCGTGGACAGTCAACAGTACTAATAAGTCCGTGTCATCACCAATAACACACGTTTGCGATTGCAAAGCAGCCTATACATGCATTACTGAAGTTGGATGCACTACCCCCCACTTCAGGAGCGTCCAGACAGCATTCATTTAGGACCTACCACCAGGTACAACAGTGGCTGAATGAAGATAAGGATCCACTCGAGTGGGGTTGGAAGAAGATTGGCGACCACCTGACACCAATTACAACAGCACGTCCTGCAGCCCCCCAGGAATTACTGTCCCTTATAATGTGTACTTGCAAAGATGAAAGCGTTCGTAATTGTGAATGCAGAAGGAGTGGTCTAAACTGCACTAGCATATGAAGCAATTGCTCAGGCCAAGCATGTGATAACATGGACAATAATAACATCTTAGACGACGAGCTAGAGGAGGAGGATAATGTGCTGGAGGATGAGTGAAGTTGATAAAGACATTGAACATTCCAAATTTGAAAGATATTTATGCTTGAGAAGTGAATTTATGTTGCAACGTTCGTAGAAAGTTCAGGGTGGGTTTCTCCGTACCACAGGTTTATATGGCCTAGGCCTGTGGAAGCCTCTTTTCCCCTGAAAAAGAGTGCCCCTTGATAAGGTGGTGAGGTTGTCGTTCCTTCAAGGGCTTATCACTAACATACCACCGGCCACTGAAATAGCAACATTCTTTTACGAAGCTTATTTTTTACAAAAATTATCAAAATTACGAAAAAGTTAACATTTACACCGTCTGTAACTCTTGAACCGTACAATTCAGAGTGATTATGAAAAGGACCATTCTTATTTAAAATTTAACGTAGAACATTTTTGTATATAACAATGTTTAAGATAAACCGCTTAGTTTTTGAAATATTTACGAAAAACTAAAAAAACTAGTGATTTTTCAAATTCCCCCCCCCCCCCCTCACCCCCAAACCCGACGCTCAAAATGGTGTAACTTTTTACCATAGAATAAGGGGACTATGTAGAGCAATTTGGTGTTGCTCTGTCTATAGGAGAATATCTTACAGATATACAGGGTGTCCGCTAAAAGGAGGTCACTGTATTAACCATATATTCCTTGAACAAAAACAATATGAGTTTCCAAATACAATTTTTCATTGTAGGCCTTCATATTCGATATACAGAGTGTCAAAGTTGGAAATTAAAAACTTTTTTTTCTAATTACTCGCGTATTTAATAAGATATTAAACTCAAAATTGGTATATTACTCCAGCACAAAGAGTTACATCGTGTGAGGTGAACAAAACAGAAAATAACTGTCAAATATTCAAAATACTGAGGGTCAAGTACACACTTACCCCCATATTTGTTTTGTACGTGCGCTAATGACTTCCTATCTATTTTTCTCGAAGTGTTCAATCATTTTTGTGTATCTTCATCAAAATTACGAAAAAGTTAACATTTACACCGTCTGTAACTCTTGAACCGTACAATTCAGAGTGATTATGAAAAGGACCATTCTTATTTAAAATTTAACGTAGAACATTTTTGTATATAACAATGTTTAAGATAAACCGCTTAGTTTTTGAAATATTTACGAAAAACTAAAAAAACTAGTGATTTTTCAAATTCCCCCCCCCCCTCACCCCCAAACCCGACGCTCAAAATGGTGTAACTTTTTACCATAGAATAAGGGGACTATGTAGAGCAATTTGGTGTTGAAGGAAAACTTTTACTTTGGATGTTGAGGTTTAGGTCTAATTACACCGTACACCCGTTACGCTTCAAGATTTCAACTTTGCAATATGATAATTGCAGAAAAATGTGTCCCCCGCCAAATTGAAATCGACCTGTTCGAGCGTTTTTTAAATTTTTTTAACGACATCGGAGATTAGTGAGGTAAGTTTTAGCTGGGACACACTGTATCTACATTTTCAGATACAGAAAATTATCTTATTATTCGTGTTGACTCTCTATAATCACAAGCAATATAATGATGATCTTATGACCGTGAGAAAATGGTAAAGTATATATTAGTTGCTCTGTCTATAGGAGAATATCTTCCAGATATACAGGGTGTCCGCTAAAAGGAGGTCACTCTATTAACCATATATTCCTTGAACAAAAACAATATGAGTTTCCAAATACAATTTTTCATTTTAGGCCTTCATATTCGTTATACAGAGTGTCAAAGTTGGAAATTAAAAACTTTTTTTTTCTAATTACTCGCGTATTTAATAAGATATTAAACTCAAAATTGGTATATTACTTCAGCACAAAGAGTTACATCGTGTGAGGGAAACAAAACAGAAAATAACTGTCAAATATTCAAAATACTGAGGGTCAAGTACACACTTACCCCCATATTTCTTTTGTACGTGCGCTAATGACTTCCTATCTATTTTTCTCGAAGTGTTCAATCATTTTTGTGTATTTTTTGTCTCTTGTGAAATTTCGATGAAATTAATCATTTTTAAGATACAGGGAACGGAAAATGAAATCGGAAAAAAATTTAAGAAAATATTTTCGGAAATTTTAGGTGAGATTATGATATCCATGATTTCAATAGTTACTTGATGGAATAAATAGCAGATCAGGATTGTCTGGGAATGTATGGAAGATTTTGTGTACCTATAAGCCACATATTTTTCAAAGGTTAAGATTTTCCTTAATTGAAAGGGCTCGCATGTGTATTCAAAAATTGGAGGTTATCGAGCAATTTATTTAGACGTGTTGAATTTCTATCAATCTTTTTTTGTTAAAATTGACGAAATAAATAAGATTATGTGAACATTATGAGATTACCGTAAGCCGCATAGGCATCAAACAATAATCAGTACTTTTCGAATTATCTTAAAAACAAATAATTTTAACGGAATTCTAAGAGACGAAAATTACTCGAAAATGATCGAACACTTGAAGAAAAATAGGTAGGAAGTCATTAGCGCAAGAACAAAAAAAATATGGGGGTAAGTGTGTACTTGACCCCCAGTATTTTGAATATTTGACAGTTATTTTCTGTTTTGTTCTCCTCATACGATGTAACTCTTTGTGCTAAAGTGATGTTATAATTTTGAGATTAATATCTCATCAAATACGCGAGTAATTAGAAAAAGTACATTTTTCAATTTCCAACTTTGACACCCTGTATATCGAATATGAAGGGCTTAAATGAAACATGGTATCCTGAAACTCATATTGTTTTTGTTCAGGGAATATATGGTTAATGGATTGACCTCCTTTCAGCGGACACCCTGTATTATGCATATGCATGTACAGGGTCTTATACAGGGTGTGAGTTATGTTTCTGTGATGAAAATGAATAAGGCGATTTGGTATAAGATTCTTCAATTAACCTCTACCCGGAAAAGTTACATCTACCCGAAGATTAAAAAAAAATGTGTATTGTAATGTATTCCAAAATATGTAGTTATATTGACGAATAATAATTACCAAGTTTCGTGTCTTCAGCCTAAAGGTCATCCTGTCAATACTTCTAATGTAACAATTTGATAAACATTCTGTATA